CTGCTGTCAGTGAATCACTTGCAATTCTGGTTCTTGATGAGGTATGATATATGTGCTTCAATTATAATAGTGGCTTTGTAAGACGTTGGTTTGTGTTTTGCGAATGCACTAGATAATCAAGTAGTCACTCTTTTAAGTCAGGAAGTTGCATGATTTGATTTTCTTGGAGGTTATAGCTATCATATTTTTCCTTTATATTCCTCTCTTTGAGGAGATGTTGATATATTTCTGTTATCAGGCAGATCTTTTGTTGTCATATGGATATGAAGATAATCTAAGATCGGTAACTTCAATAATCCCAAGGCGTTGCCAATGCCTTCTTATGTCGGCTACCACAAGGTTAGACATACATGGATAATAATGATTCTATTTAAACTCATATTTTTCTCCGAAGTTTGTCTTGAATGGTTGACTGATAATATTTTTGCAAAATCTTAGTTCTGATGTCGAAAAATTGAAGAAATTGATTCTGCACAACCCAATCGTTTTGACCTTGACAGAAGAGAACGACAAGGATGAGGCCGTCCCAAGTAATGTTCAGCAGTTTTGGGTATGATTCGGTCCCTTAGATTTGTTTAAATCAGTTTTGCATTATGTTTGGTTTATAAGTTCACAGTTGTGGGTGTGATTAATAATGATAAGTGTGTTATCTTGTCTTAGATTTCTTGCAGTGCTCAGGATAAACTGCTTCACATTCTTGCTCTCTTGAAGCTAGAGGTTGTTCAGAAGAAAATTCTGATATTCATCAATACGATTGACATGGGATTCAGGTTGAAATTATTCTTAGAAAAGGTAAGTTTTGGGCACCTATACAAGCATTCCGATTAAATAAACTGTACCTGTAATATTAATAGTGAATTAATCTTTTGTTTTGTTTCTGCCAGTTTGGAATCAAGTCTGCAATTTTAAACGGGGAGTTGCCTCAGAATTCTCGGCTTCATATCCTTGAGGTACATCACCAAGTCACACACCTAGATTTAGTTTCTCCGTTTAAGCAGCTGCGTTTCATAATTCATCACTGTATATTTTTTTTCTACAGCAATTCAATGCAGGTCTTTTCGATTACTTGATTGCAACGGATGATAATAGCCAGACTAAAAAACAAAAGGAAGAGGCTAAAGGTGAGGAGAACAAGGAGAACAATAGAAACAATAAGCGTAGCAAACCAAAGCTGGATGCTGAGTTCGGTGTAGTTAGGGGAATTGATTTCAAAAAAGTTCACACGGTATGCTACTCGACTTTGGCCAAGGGGATTTTCTTTTCTTTATTTTTGTACTCTTTGCTACTTGGAATCTTTAAAGACTTTCCTTGTTTTCTTTGCTCTAGACTCTTAGCCTTCCCTTAAACCTTTTTTATGCACAGGTCATAAACTTTGATATGCCTCAAAGTGTTACTGGATATATTCATCGAATTGGGCGTACAGGGAGAGCATATAGCAGTGGTTCTTCCGTTTCTCTTGTGAGTTTCTCGTCTAACAATACCGTTTTATCGATGATCTCTTTAAATTTTGCAAGTCTAATGCTCTGCTTTATTTGCCACAGGTATCTCCTGATGAGATGGAAGGGTTTGAAGATATAAAGTCCTTCTTAGCAAGCGACAAGAACAAGGATAGTGATATTATCACACCCTTTCCTTTGTTGACCGAAAATGCTGTAGAGTCTCTTAGATATAGGGCTGAGGTGAGTAATCTTTGTAGTAAGCTGCTTCCTTCTTTAATTAAGTGAGAAGTACTAAAAGTTGCAATTACTTTTCAGGATGTGGCAAAGAGTGTTACAAAGATTGCAGTTCGAGAGTCTCGAGCTCAGGATTTGAGGAATGAGATAATCAACTCCGAAAAGTAACCAAGAACATAACTGTTCTTTAGGTGTGATGTTTATTCTCTTGAGTTTTTTCTTCTTCTTAATTTCTCTATTTCTTTTTTCAGGTTAAAGGCTCATTTTGAAGCTAATCCAAGAGACTTAGATCTGTTGAGACATGACAAGCCTCTGAGTAAGACTGCACCTGCACCACATCTAAAGGACATCCCTGAGTATCTAGTGGACCCAAAGACTCAAGAAGCAAGCAAGATGGTAAAACTAGCTAGAGCCGCAATGGGCAACACTAGGAGATCTGGTGGGGGCGGTGGTCGCAACAACAAAAACAAGAAACGGTCCAGAAAAGGCAGCGACCCACTCAAAACCTTCAACCCCAATGTAAAACATTACTGAATTTCTCCTTTTTCTCTGCTTTGTGTGTATATGTGCTAAATTTTTTCTCTGTTACTTGCTTTTCTTCAATCAACCAGGGATCTAAGAGAGGACACGGTGGCGGCGTTGGCCAGAAGAAAGATGGCAGAGATTCTAGCGATGGCTCGACCAAGAAACAGAAGACAGTTTAAGTTATTTCGTTTTGCTCAAGTGTAACCAAATTTTGACTGTTATAATCAATCACACAAAAGAACGGAGACAAGAGCAACCATCTTTTAGCTCTATTCTTGTAACATCAGAAGAGAAAGTTTTGTGACCAATTATCCTTTTTTTGAGTTCTTCTTTGATATAGATTTTTGTAAGCTTGTGACGACGATCTTTGTAGGGTTCAAAATGTTCTAGTCCACATGGTTTTGGACTCATTTAGATATTTTTCGAATTGAATCGACACATCTTATGAAGGTAAATATGCTTGCACGTTTTTGGTTCGAGTATTTATGTCACACGTTTAACCCTAAACAAACAAAAAAGTTTACAAATGTATGTTTCTCCAAATCAACAACCTTGTTGATTACAAGTACCTCAAGCTATGAACTTGGGTGGCTTTCTAATAAGAGTTGCTTGTTCGAAGGCATAAGCAATCTCAATGAGCTTTGGCTCTGAGAATCTCAGTCCTCCAAAGCTTATTCCAAATGGAACTCCTCCATTATCATATCCTGCAGGGACATTGATTCCTGGATACCCTCCAATGGCGAGGACAGAGCTCAAACTTGAACCAAGTGCCACTATTGAATCTAAATTCCTCTCTTTCATTAGCTTTTCGATTCCATTCCTCGATAGTTCTTTCATTTTTTGCAACGCTGCTTTCTCTTTCTCACCCATTCCATTTGTGGCTTCTGCTGTAAGGAACACCTCTTGTCCCCATTCTTTCACTTTTTCCTGTGTTTTTTTTTTATCAATTCATTGTTCAGATACCTAACCAAAAAAAAATCAAAATCGTTTGAAGCTTAGTACTTACTTGTTCAGCGAATTCCTCGTTGTAGGCAATAACATCTGCTAAGGACCGGACTGGTGATTTCACAAGCTCTTTAAGATATGCATTGAGAGACATCTTGAACTCAGCCAAAAGTGCTATCTCTTCACCACTATCAGTCCCACCCACAATGACTTCCATGTTTGGTATCGTTAGATTGTTAATGACGATAGCACCTTCTCGTCTTCATCCGAGGAAAAGCAGAGCTAGAATTAGATATGGTGTTCTCAGTTGATGGAATCAAACTTATAACGAGTTTTACCTTAATGTTTTGATGTGATGATCAAGACGAGAAGAATGCTTCATTACAATCCCTAATCTCTTACCTTTGAGGCCACTAGTTGTCAGAAACTGCTTGTAACCCCCTTCAGGTATGAACTCAGACGCAGATTTGGTGGCCTTGTCCAATGGATCATAACCAACAATAGCATCAAGGAGATGAACAGCATCCGAAACTGTCCTACAAATCGGCCTAACATCGCAAAACATAGAGAAACACTCGGCAAAATGGTACACAAATCAAATAGTTAGTAGTGGTGGGTGCTTTTAGAGTCTTAGTCTCTCTCACCCTATACTGTCCTGTCTCAAGGAGATAGGAACTACCCCGGCTCGGCTCGTGAGCCCGACACTCGGTTTAATCCCGACCACAGAGCTCTGACTTGCTGGAGAAAGAATGGAACCATCAGTTTCAGTCCCTAGTGACAATGCCACAAGATTGGCTGCTACAGATATAGCTGATCCACTACTTGACCCAGACGGATTTGCTGATAAAACATATGGATTCTGCAGCATTTGAAACTTTTTGGTTTACCAAATTATTGATGGAGAAATGAATCTCATGAGATGAAGAAAGTAACCTTTCCTTGGAGGCCACGTGCGCTCCAACCATCTGGGATGGAGAAAGATCGAAAATTAGCCCATTCACTTAAACTGGCTTTGCCCAAGATCACAGCACCAGATTCTCTTAGTCTCTTGACAACACAGGCGTCTCGAGCCACGACCGAACCAAGCAAGGCAAACGAGCCAGCCGTGGTGTTAAGCTTGTCCTTGGTGGATATTGAATCCTTGAGCAGAACCGGAACACCGTGCAAGATAGGAAGCTTAGTGGCGTTTTTGAGGTCACGTTCTTTGTCTGCGATCTCTGCTTGTTGATTCGCATCAGGATTCGTCTCGATGACTGCGTGGAGTATTGGATTAAGTTTGGAGATTGCTTCGAGATACAACTCCACAAGCTGCTTTGATGTTAGTCGTTTCTCCTTGAAAGCAAGTCTGATGTCTTCAATGGTGGCTTCTTGGATCGAGAACATTGAGGTAAGCGCTTGAGGAAGAAGAAAAAGAAGAAGAATAAGAAGAGATGAGGAGAAGATGAAACGCAGAGCAACCATGGCTAGAGAAAGAGAAAGGAAAATGGTCAAAATTGCTGACCAAAATGAGCAACCACGCCAATAACTCGATTGCTTTTCTAAACGAGATTGATAACATCGTTGACCAAAATCAGCCAAAACTGTTACATATTTTGTGTGTACTTACTTACTTGCATTACGTGTTTTAACTCATTAAGTACGAAAATTTGACGTTCGTATATATAGATTGAGAGCTGGGCTAAGGTTTATCAATCATCTCTTCAAAAAGATTGTATCTTTTTTCTTCTTCTAAACAGATTTGAGTGTAACAAAGTCTTCTTTTTTCCTAGTCAGTCTTGCATAATTCGCATATATTTTTGTTCATTACTACGAACATGAATCAATTACTAGTACTACTTTGTTCATCAGAGAAGCAAAAACACAAAGCAGTAATTGGGTAAGCATATAATTATTTCAGAACCCCAGAAAACACAAAAGGGTCTTGTTACAAACTCTGAAACGATCCCAAATCAGAAAAAAACTCAAAAGTAAAAACAAGCAAAGGCAAAGATAACCATTATTCATAAAGATAAGGTCTTTCTCTCAGTCACTCACTCAGATCTAAGAAAGCTGACCACAATCAGTGATGGTTACGACTTTGGAAGTCTTTCCAGAATCAGATCCAACTTTCTCAATGGCCTTGACGACGTCCAAGCCTTTAACAACTTGTCCAAACACAACGTGCTTACCATCTAACCACGAGGTCTTATCGGTACAGATGAAGAATTGAGATCCGTTAGTGTTAGCACCAGAGTTAGCCATTGAGAGAATCCCAGCTCCGGTATGCTTCTTAATAAAGTTCTCGTCTTTGAACTTAGCACCGTAGATCGATTCACCACCGGTTCCGTTCTTGGCGGTGAAATCACCTCCCTGACACATGAATCCGGGAATCACACGGTGGAAGATCGATCCCTTGTAGTGAAGTGGCTTACCCATCTTTCCGATTCCTTTCTCTCCGGTACACAGAGCACGGAAATTCTCCGCCGTGTTTGGGGTCGTATCAGCGAATAGCTCCATCTCGATCCGACCGATGGGAGTACCGCTCAGACTCATGTCGAAGAAAACTCTAGGGTTCGCCATTTTTTCTGGAAGATTTTGAAGAGAGAAATCGATGAAGAAGAAGATTGATAATGAATTAGAGTTTTTTTGGAGAGGTTCTTATAGAGAGGATTTAATTTTTAAAGCGGTGAATCTGAAAAAGGAATTTTTGTTATTGGCCGTTGATTTAGGACACGTGTAGGGTTATGATGATATGGATATTAACCGTGGTTAAATCGGATCTGACTAGGGTTTAAGTCGCGTGGATCCGAGGCTCCTCGTATCCATAATAATTGATTCTTTTTAGATGGACCGACCGAATTACGGCGTTAAAGTAGTGGGCCGACAACAAAAGCATAAAGCCCAATATCTTATTTCATTGATTTTTTTGTTTTAACATTAGAATATTTTGGACTTTTGGTGTATGAGCGAGCATTGTTTTTGCCAACAATAGTTCTCCGATTCTATATATTGACCACTCGATTTTATTGGAGAGTGTACCATTTAAAATTATGTATGTGGTGATTATCTTTCAGCACGTGAATACTTACTTGTACATGATGGGATATTTACTGGATTCACGATCTTATGACTTACATAGTTACATTGACAGTTGATTTACTTGAAAAACAAATAAAAAGTGGAAGAATGATGGAGATTTTGAGCTGAATATTCACTTTTTTTTTTTTTTCTTATTTCGCTTCTTGTGTAATCATAATTTTTTTTTGCTTATTTGACCTTGATCCAGTTACTTTACATCGGTTGGTAGACTATGACCACTCATATTCCTCAAAATAAGAATGTTGGAGACAAAGATAAGTAATGATTAAGCCCTTTAACCAAAAAAAAAAAGATAAGTAATAATTATGCCTTGGTGGGATTAGTAGATTTCACTTTTTACTAGATTAGGCCACTTTGTTTTGTTTGGCAAAGTAATTTGATTATTTTCAAGTGACATAATCAATATGTAAATCCAAAGTCTAAACTGAAGAAAAATACGTACGAACATCATCAAATCTTAATCATTTGGTTTTTTTTTTGTGAGATTAATCATTTGGTTTTTGATTCAGCGACTCCTAACAATGGTCTATGGCCGGAATCTATCTTTCTTTCAACAATTTTCATCATATTTTATACACTATTAGTATCACAGTACTACTGTCTGGATTAGAATAATCTTTAAGATATATGTCCCTAAAAATCCAAAAGTTAAATAAAATCAAATCATCACAAAAGAAACTTTTGGAGTTGTCCAACAGACAGTAATATGATCATATTGTTTTATATCATCATCTAGCTAGTAATATTCGTTCTCCAACGTTAGCAAACTATACGACCTTTTCTTAGTGTCATTATCAACAGCAGTGACTAAAAAATTCAGAAAGAAACAACCAATATGCAGCAGGCTGCGCAGGGCACGAGATCCACTGCCACCGTACACGTGGACAACCAAACATTTTACTCACTGCAAAGATACTCTCTCACGTCACTAAAATTATTTTAACTTCTATAGTTTGGTAGGTAAATCGAAAAACCATTAATTTATTTAAATAAAATGCATACAAAATGTTTAACTCAAAAAGCAAACAACCTCCGTGCAAATCATATCATATGCATGGCTTAAAGGGTTTTGCCTTCACCTCCCCGATCGCTAGAGTTACTGTGCTCGTCTCCATCTTCCCGTCACAGTCACATCTCGTCCGTACACGTGGACCCACATCCTCCTTAAGCTCACTAGCTGATTGATTCGTCTTACCTTTGGCCGTTTCGTCTCTCTCTCTCTCGTTTAATTACTTGTATCGTCGACTCTAGTGATACTCTCGCTTCTCTGTTACAAGATTGAGAGAGAAGATAAAGAGGCATAGCTCGTTTCATATCTTCTTCCTTCGACGCTGGATTCATAAGGTTCGTGATCTATCTACGTGTTGCTGTGGTTATGAACATTTACGGTTGATCAAGTTTTCCCCTGCTTTGTTTTTGCCGGATCTCTCTCCGAGAGTTTTGTTTCCGATCGTTTCTGTGCGTGATATCGTTAAAACCGAGTCGAAATCTCTCCGGTTTGTTTTCTTGTTCTTTGTGATTACATGGTGGAATCCGACGTTTCGATGTTTATATCGTTCGATTTCTCTTGTTCGTGGAGTTTCTCTGATGTTTGTGTTAGTCCGCGTTCTGATTTTATCCGGTTTGATTAATCTTGCATATAACAGTCTCGCAGAAGGTTTCATTGCATTTTTCAACTGGCGATGCCGAATTTAGTTTGTCTATAACCTGTTTACACGTTTGATCATGACATTGTTGTGCTATTGCGAGCTCAATGGATCTGATCGATTTATGTGAATGCAGGGCATGATATTTTGGTTAAGATTTGAATCAATCTGGAGCAATGTCGACTTTTAATCTGAGTGTAGATGTGAATCAGAATGGGAATGTCAAGAATGTTGATTCTTTATCTACATTGGACGATATCGATGACATTGATTTCGCCAAGTTGCTAGAGAAGCCAAGGCCGTTGAATATTGATAGACTGAGATCACTTGACGAAAGGTCTCTTCATGAATTAACTGGTTCACCACAGCTTAGAAATGCGGATAATGCTTCTCGGGCCCCTGATCACGCTGATTATGTGATTTCACCAAGCGTGGGTAGGAGGTCTGGATTCAATACTCCTAGGTCACAGCCTGGATTTGAGTCTCATCCTATGGTTGGTGAGGCCTGGGATGCTTTGAGGCGCTCAATGGTATACTTCCGTGGACAACCTGTTGGGACTATTGCTGCTGTGGATAATTCTGAAGAAAAACTCAACTATGATCAGGTGAAGAGTCTTAATATCTTCTGAAAACTTCCAAATAACCACATTTTATTGTTACGTTTCATGTGTTGACTGTTCATTGATCTTGTATCTCTGCCTTGACTTTATCCTTTAGGTGTTCGTGAGAGATTTTGTACCAAGTGCTTTAGCATTCTTGATGAATGGAGAGCCAGATATAGTTAAAAACTTCCTTTTAAAGACTCTTCGTCTTCAATCGTGGGAGAAAAAGATTGATAGATTCCAGCTTGGTGAGGGAGTTATGCCTGCTAGCTTCAAGGTTTTCCATGATCCTGTTAGAAACCACGAAACGCTGATAGCTGATTTTGGCGAGAGTGCAATTGGAAGAGTAGCGCCGGTTGATTCAGGATTCTGGTGGATTATACTGCTCAGAGCCTACACAAAATCTACAGGGGACTCTTCTCTTGCTGACATGCCTGAATGCCAGAAGGGTATCCGGCTGATACTAAGCCTGTGTCTGTCTGAGGGATTTGATACCTTTCCCACTCTCTTATGCGCTGATGGTTGCTGTATGATTGATCGTAGGATGGTAAGCAGCAGATTTTCTTTATTAGTTATTTCTAGTGTTTCTTTCTTCAAGGAGAGTTTGAGTTAGGTGCTTCATCAATTTTCCATTTTTTAATCTTGTGTTTTCTGTATTTTAGGGAGTTTATGGTTACCCGATAGAGATTCAAGCCCTTTTCTTTATGGCCTTAAGGTGTGCCTTGCTCCTGCTTAAACATGACGGAGAAGGTAAGGAAATGGTGGAACAGATAGTTAAGCGACTTCATGCATTGAGCTACCACATGAGGAGCTACTTTTGGCTAGACTTGAAGCAGCTTAATGACATTTACCGATATAAGACAGAGGAATACTCTCACACTGCTGTCAACAAGTTCAACGTAATCCCTGATTCTCTTCCAGAATGGGTTTTCGACTTTATGCCGCCTCATGGAGGTTTTTTTATTGGCAATGTTAGCCCTGCAAGAATGGATTTCCGTTGGTTTGCTTTGGGTAATTGTATAGCAATATTGTCTTCCTTGGCTACTCCCGAACAGTCAACAGCAATTATGGATCTCATAGAATCTCGCTGGGAAGAGTTGGTTGGAGAAATGCCACTGAAAGTTTGCTATCCCGCAATAGAAAGCCACGAATGGAGAATAGTAACTGGTTGTGACCCCAAAAACACTCGATGGAGCTACCACAATGGAGGATCCTGGCCAGGTTTGCTTCTTCTCTACTTTTAGTTGGAAAACAAAGGAATCTCTCCTGTCCCAGTGTTCTTCTGGTGTCACTGTGGTATCTTAATCTTAGGAAAAGGCTATTCTGACCCTTATTGATGTAATTTATGTTTAATGGTACACAGTGCTGCTATGGCTTCTGACGGCTGCTTGTATCAAAACTGGTCGACCTCAAATAGCAAGACGAGCAATTGAAGTAGCAGAGGCTAGGCTCCATAAGGACCATTGGCCTGAATACTATGATGGAAAGGTAGGGAGATACGTGGGGAAACAGTCGCGTAAAAACCAGACTTGGTCAATCGCCGGATACTTAGTAGCCAAGATGATGCTGGAAGATCCGTCACATGTTGGTATGGTTTGTCTTGAGGAAGACAAACAGATGAAGCCCGTTATGAGAAGATCCAACTCCTGGACTTGTTGAAAACGTTAGAAAGAGATGAGCTAAGAAGAACCTTCTTCGTGATTCCTGGTTTTTAATGCTGATAACGACTCTTTCTTCGTTTTTCAGTTGCACATTTTACGTTGTTTGCTTTGTGAAATATTTTTTAGACTATGAAAAAGATTTAAGCATCGTAAAAAATATTTCGTATGTTTAGCTTCATGTCTTTATTATATGCTTTATCTCGCTATTGAAATGTCGTCTATAGAGCAAAGAAGGGGTTCTTTCTTGATCTGCAAGGTAAACCTTTCACTTTATTGTTCAGACATCAAGGTTTCTAGCGATGATGCCTTCAAATGTAACACCAGGTCCAAAAGCCAGAATCAGACCCCACTCGTCTTCCTCTTCATTCATGTTCCTCACTTTCTTGCTCTCCTCCAACATATACTCCAACACATAAACGATCGAATTGCTGCTCGCATTGCCATAGTCCATGAGAGCTCTTCTGCTTGGACTCAGCTTCTCAGGCGACAGGTTAAGCCGCTTTTCCATCCGATTCAAAATGGCTGGTCCACCTGGATGAACCGCCCAGAACATCTGGTTGTAGTTCTTATGAGCCAATCCCGCTTTTCCTATTAGCTTCTTGCAGAAATTCTCCACGTTGTCTTCTATTATCTGTGGAAGCTCTCTCGCTAGCTTGAAGTTTATCCCTTGTTCTGTTAGCCTTCCATCTATTGTCTTCTCTGTGTCTGCGCATTGAAAATGCAATCCATACTTATCCAAAAATAGTCTTAAGATATAGACACATAACTGGATGCAAAAATCTTGTGGTCTTTTACCAGGTAAAAAATTCTGTATTGCAGTGTGAAGCTCAAAGAGAGGCTTCTCGCAGATCGGGTCTGGATCGGATCCGACGATCATAGCTCCGGCTCCATCACCAAACAACGCCACCCCAACAAGATCATACGGTCTATCCACACTTGGGGGTTTGAACCCAATGATGGTTGTCTCGGACGTGGCAAGCAAAACTCTACTGCCCGGATTATTCTCGGCTATGTCTTTGGCTACACGGAGACCTGCAACGCCACCAGAACAGCCGACGAAGTAGAGCAGAACACGGTGTGTGTCAGGACTGAGTCCAAGCCCCTTGGCTAAGTACAAGTCCCCACCAGGAAGACGAGCTTCGCTTGAGGAGACATAGACAAGGTGAGTTATTTCCGAAATAGAACGCCCCCAGTTCTTGATGCATGCTCTGGAGGCTTCTACTGCCATCTCGGTCACTGCATCGTTGCAGATGTCTAGACGCTGCGTCACTGTGGATCCTCCTTCAATGGCAAGTTCTGGATACTTCTTGAGAATCTCCTCCGACATCACAACATACCTTGTCTTCACCGTTGTTGTCTTGCCTGTATATAGTAAACGAACAGTTCAAACAAACCTCAGTTGTCAGGAACTTACAAAATGAGATAAAAAGTTGAAAGAAACAGAGGTTAAAGTGAAGACATTACAGAGACGAGTAAGCTTCTGTTTGAGTTCAGGGTCATCACAATTGGTGGTTTTGAAGTAACCATCGACTAAGTACTCTTGCATTACTAGCTGGTGAGGAAAGGCTTTTCCGAGAGCAAGAATTGTCGCTTTTCCCGGGTTTGATTTCTTCACTGAACCCAATACTGCGGCATCGATGCTTCCCATTTCTATATGTTTTCTCTTGTCAAAGACTCAAATCTTGGGTCTCTAAAAAAGGTTCAAAGTGAAGGCATATATATACAGTTTGTGACCCGCATCTTGTGCGGTGTTTCTGTCTAGTTGATATTTGGTGAAGATTAGGTGTGAGATTCAGGAGCAACATGTTTATCGCATTGGCTCTTTCTATAACCCAACTCCAATTCTTTGAGAATTTTCTTTTGATACATAGTCTTTGGGCCTAGTTATGGTCGTTTTGTACATTTTCACACTTAAAAAATAATGAAAAAGAAACTAACTAAAGCTTCTTGCTATTTGAAGCATGGTTAACAAAGAACACCATTATCAGCCCCATGGTTAGAAATGTCCATGTCAATCAATTGAAATGGATAAAAAATTTCGGATTCTGTTGTTGGGTATTAAAATTTGGTGAGTTTCTACATGTATGATGGATCATCATAAGAAAGACAGCAAAAAATAGAAGAACAAATGAGGAAAGGTGAAGAGTTGAAATTTATGCTCAAACCTATTCCCTACCTATGCCCTTTGCTTGAATCTTTATATCCTTTCTTTCCCCAATGCACATAAGTGAACCTTATCGACGGAACTTACGGTTTTGATTAGAGGAAAGCTACATGGTTAATATGCATGACTTGTCAGAGGTCTGAGAGACACTTCCCACTGATGAATTCAATCACTTTGGTAAGTGACTCATCAAGTTTGGCAGTGACTGCAGCTAAGTTCTCCAAAAATTCTTCAGAAGTTGGTCTATTGCCATCCACAATATCAGTCACACCTTTTATTAGAATCGTAGGCACCTTAAAGATATCAGCCACATAGGCCACTGCTGCTCCCTGAAATGCCAAGATTCAAGAATAAGCAGAAAGAAACAAAGACAAACACATAGATTGGAGCCACGTTCATAAACACATGAAACTTATGGATTGTTTACCTCCATATCTTTAACTGTAGCATCATTTGCTGTGATGGATTCTTCGTCATGTGGAGACATATCCATTGAATCGCCAGTGGATAATCTTCCTACCTGGGAACATCACAACCAAATCATAAATCTACCACTTATGGCACTTGTATATATGCATAACAGATCAAGAAATAATCAAAAATATGCATGAGAGAGGATCAAATGGTGAACTCAGAGCAACTAATAAAGTATACACCTTTAGGCTCAGCTCCTTTATAAGGTTGGGTGTGGGGAATGCTTTCCGCATACCAACACCGTATAGATCAAGGACCTGCAGAAAGTAGAGAGAAAGTTTTAGGAAAAAGCAAAAATATTTGGAATGAGAATGCAAGAAGTAAATTACTCAAGAACATCAGCTTTACTTTGCAACTCATACTGATACATGAACGATATAAAAGAGCACTTACAGGAACGGGTATTCTTCTGTCATGGAAAGCAACAGTGGAGACAACATAAACATCGCTAATACATGCTCCTTTGGCCTGAAAGGACCATTTAAAAAAACAAGGAGGGCTGTTCACTTCATTCTTTCTGACACATAAGTGGCATGAGACGACTATGTAGAGAAGTCAATTTGTAATGTCGATACCTTAAACCCACCAGCGGTTCCCGCATTAATGATTAAGTCGGGTTGAATTGCTTGAATGGAAGCATAAGTCACGAGGGATGCAGGAACCGTGCCAACACTCTCGACCCCTGAAAAAAGAATTGACCCATATAACAAGAAATAGAAAAAGATACAAACTCAGACATTCAAAATCAGTAACAATGACATTTAGAGATAACATCCTGAAACACTGACTCACTTACAATAACACAACCACATGGATATACATACCAAGAGTTGAATCTTTTCCTGGACAGACTATATTGATGTTCAAGTCTTTATATATTCCCTTAAACAGAACCCAAGTCACCTCTTTTGGAAACCTACAAAATTCAGTTTTCCAAACAGTAACAAGAAAGCTATCACCTTTTTTCTTTTGTTTTTTGGTTTTAAAGCTATATCACATTTGATATCGAATCAAATTAAAAAGTGAAAGAGGTAAAAGAACTCACGGCGTATTAACTTCTTTAACGAGCCGTAATCTGTTGATCAGAGGCTGAGCTTCTTTTTGCATAGCTGCGAATACTCAAGTCATTAGAAAGAAAGAAAAAATCACAAGAAATAGTAAAGAGAAGGAGAAAAAAACAAATTGTACCGACGATGAAGACGACGGTAGAAATCTGCCGTTTCTCTACCTGACCCATAAGACCTTCCATTGCAGCGTCTGAGAATCCGTCGCCGGCGATTCGTCAAGATCAAATTTCTAAATTTCCCCCGGAAATTGGAACGCAGATTAAAAAACCCGGCTCCAACCCGAATCTTATCCGGACCCAGACCCAGGCCCAAAAAAAAAAAACATTATTTTGTTATTGTATAAGAATAAAATAAAAAATTGGAAATAAAAACGTTGACGACTTGACGGCCGTTTATGCCACGTAAGCAATCCGAAAGAGAGTCGTTGGTTATTTCATATCCTCACTTGTTGTCTAAAAGCTTTATCCTCAAATCGTTTTCTCTCTAAGCCTCTCCAATGGAGGTTACCTCCACCACCTTCATCTCCACCACCAGATCTTCTAAGTATCTCACCTTGACTTCTTACTCTCCGGTGATTCTTCCGGCTTCTACTCTCCGCCGTGATTTTCTCGGTTGTTGTCATAGTCTCCGACGTCCTTCTCCTCATCTTCGTACTCGCGCCGGGAAACGCAATTCTCGTCGCTCTTCAATTCGATCGCCTCGTTTAGTCGTTAGAGCTTCTCTCGATTCTGGTTTGATTCTTGTTATTGTGGCTGTCACTGCCTTTTCCGCCATTGCTTTCGCTTACTGCCAAAATACTTTCAGGAAGCGGAAAACTTCCGATGTGGTAATTGGAAATTTCTGAGCTACTTTGCTTCTTTTTAGCCTATTTTAGGTTTTGTTTCATTAGAGTGCATAAAGTTGCTGACTTTTTATAATATTCGATAAGGATACTGATTCTGACTAGCTAAGCTTTTCAGGTTGCAGCATCTACTGGAACGATTCGTGGCGGAAAAATCAGTACTGAGAATCGGCGAGAAAGTCAACATTTAGATGGAGATGTTTATGAAGGCAATCCTGTGGAAATAAATGGAGGTTTTAGAAAGATGGAGGAACAAAGTGTGACTCTTTTGGAGGAAGAGGAGACTCATCAAATCCAGGAAATTGCTGTGATAGAGTATGATTCATTTTCAGCTGAGGAGTCTCAGTTTGCTGTTGCCAATGTCAGCACAGTTGCCAAAGAACATACTTTAATAGATGAATCCCTTTCATCTTCTATTGTTAATGGGTCTGTTGCTTTGGAATCAGCTACCTTTGGAGTTAAAACACAAGTTGAAAATAGCGAAGATCACAAGTGTTTGGAGCATGATTTTTCACAGGCAGTGGTGGGAATTCATTCGATTGCTTCTCCACCGGTGGTAGATGATACACATGCTCTAGAGTATGAGTACAATGGTTTGCTCCAGAAGCCTCTCGAGTACAGCGTCTTTGCGGAGAGTAAGAGAGAAGAGATTCACACTTTTTATGGGTCTAATCATTCATCAGCCAAGTCTTCAAGGTTACCAAGTCTTAAAGCAGTCTCTCCTACTGTTACTTCTGCAACTAATAGTTTATTGCTGGACCACAAGAACAATGGAGTAATTGATACTCAGTTCCCAGGACATAGTTCTGGTCAGGCGACTGGTATGTTTCCTATCTAAGAAGCTTGCAGTGCCAATCCATTACAATTATTCCTTAAAGTTAGTTTCCGTTTCAGCTGATGTTCAAGAAGAAAAACTTGTGGCATACGGTAACGGCGGTGTACCCCACATTAGGAAAGACGTTAAAGAAGACTGGAAATTTCCAAATGATGGGACGCATGTGGGTCACCAAACTGATGAAAGCATGCCTCAGTTCCATGCTCGAAACTTTGAGCTACATAATAGTAATGGACGTTCTCCAGAAAGTAATGATGCTTACAACCGTTTACTTAGAGATGGAAGGTAATAAGTATTCTCTGGTTTGAATCTTGGCTGTCATTTTCTACCTCTTCTGTCACCGCTAATTCTTTTTTGCGATGTTTTAGTACCAATGAAAAGTTACTAGATTGTTTAACTTTGAGAGTGTAATATTAATGTATAACAGGATAAAGGATTGCATAAGCTTGCTCGAAGATTTGGACCAAAGGGATCTATTGGACATGGATAAGGTACGGCTATTATCCTGAGCAATATGGATGAAACCTTTAGTATTGCTTCCAGTGGAAATTTGTCACTGATTCTTATTTTTTTGTCTATTTCTTCACATCAGATTTATCATGCGAGTTTCTTTAAAACCTGCAAGAAGCAAAGGGCCGTCAAGGAAGCATTTCGCTTTACCAAGTTGATTCTAAATCCAACCATGAGCACATTCAATATGTTAATGTCTGTCTGCGCAAGCTCCCAGGACATAGAAGGTGATACTTTTTTCCAGTATTAAATCAATGGTCTTGTTAATTTTTCATTCTCCTAGATGCTGAATTGTTACTTACGTAGGAGCTCGGGGAGTTTTGCGTCTGGTACAAGAGAGTGGTATGACTGCTGATTGCAAACTTTACACAACTTTAATATCAAGTTGTGCTAAAAGTGGAAAAGTTGATGCAATGTTCGAGGTATAGAAACCTTCCTGTGTCTGAAAGTTATTTTGGACAAAGATACATATTTGGCTGGTTCTTTGTATCTCTGTTAAAATCATGAAGCATGATAGATTTCTGGGGAAAATCATTGATACTAGTCTAATGCTTGTCGGAATTGTTCAGTATGTTATTCTTGGTCTCCCAACAGAGAAAATGTTATTGTTGTCTAATCAAGCCCCATAGCTCTTACTCTCTGTCTCTCTGTGTGGTTATATTGTCAGGTGTTCCATCAGATGTCAAATTCTGGAGTGGAAGCCAATCTTCACACATTCGGTGCACTTATTGATGGCTGTGCTAGAGCTGGACAAGTAGCTAAGGCATTTGGTGCTTATGGAATTTTAAGGTCTAAGGTAAGCATGCCACAAGTTTGGATGCCCTCCTATCATGTGTCGAGATTTCAAAAAATATCCTCTCTCTTCATGGCTACAGAATTGTTTTTTAATCCTGGTCATATGTTCATTTCTCCTTTGGAATCTCAAGTCTATTATTACACTGATGACATGTTCGATGCAGTAGAATGTTAAGCCAGACCGGGTTGTATTCAATGCCCTCATCTCTGCATGTGGTCAATCAGGAGCTGTCGACCGTGCTTTTGATGTGTTAGCTGAAATGAAGGCTGAGACGCACCCTATAGACCCTGATCATATCACCATCGGTGCATTGATGAAAGCGTGCTGTAATGCTGGTCAGGTGTGTGGCTTTTTCTCCTGTTACTTTTTCTGTTTTTTCTCTTTCCATCTGGTTGAGAATAAGCTTATTGCAGGTCGAACGGGCAAAAGAAGTTTACCAGATGATCCATAAATATGGAATCAGGGGTACTCCAGAAGTGTATACCATTGCTGTGAATAGTTGCAGCAAGTCTGGAGACTGGGATTTTGCATGTAGCATATACAAGGACATGAAAGAAAAAGACGTGACCCCTGATGAGGTATGTCTGTACTTTATATCATGCTCAAAGTTGCAGATCTTTATAAGGCATGAACGAGTCATTAACTCTATGCATACTAGTTCCAACAAATTCATTTTTGAGTTAAAATAAGACACACATGCTAAAACTCATGAAACATGCAAGTGTTTAATTACAAGAATTTATACATACATATTTGTGTAATCTTGGTTTTGATCTTCTGCAGGTGTTTTTCAGTGCATTGATTGATGTTGCAGGACATGCAAAAATGTTAGACGAGGCTTTTGGTATTCTTCAGGATGCAAAATCTCAAGGAATACGTCTTGGAACTGTATCATATAGCTCACTGATGGGAGCTTGTTGTAACGTATGTGCCTTCTATTGCTGTAGCAAGAGTTTTCAATATTACTTACTTATAAGTTTTAAGCTGTCTACGTCAAATCTTTAAAATGCACGTTGTGGATAGAGGAGAAACAGAACTTTGGTAAACTTTGGTGAGATGTAGTTTACATTACCTTAGGAATCCCTAGCGATTTTTGGAATGGTGTGATTGCATTGACTTTCTTGGATTAAACTTATATGCAGAAAAATACTGATAATATTTTTGTTTTGCTTTTTTACTTAGGCGAAGGATTGGAAGAAAGCACTGGAGCTCTATGAAAAAATCAAGTTAATCAAACTTAGACCAACAATTTCAACAATGAATGCCCTTATAACTGCTTTGTGTAAGACCTCAACCTCATACAATGCTATCTTAATCTTTTCCCCTAAAACAAAGTATAAGATAGAAAAGAAAATGTGTTATGGTAGTACTACACTTGCAGCATCCATACAAAATATCATTACTGGTATGACTCCTTAGATTATCAACAGGTGAAGGTAATCAACTGCCCAAGGCTATGGAATATCTCGATGAGATAAAGACTTTAGGGTTAAAACCAAATACTATTACTTACTCAATGCTCATGCTGGCAAGTGAAAGGTATCTTCTTTTAAGTTGAATAATTTAGGCCCGTTTGATCAATATGAAGATTTGAGAGTTAATTAATCTTCTGACTTTTCCCTGTGTAGAAAGGATGACTTTGAGGTAAGTTTCAAGCTCCTTTCTCAAGCAAAAGAAGATGGAATATCACCAAACTTCATCATGTGTAGATGCATAACCAGTAAGCTTGTATTTTGTATTCATTTCTTTCCTCATTCTTGAGGCTCAGTATATCTTTAGATGTATCTGTGTCCATCCTGATGCAGTCAGATATGAAAGTGTTTGTTTTAATGGAGCACTTCTGCTTCATTTTTGTTTTGTTTTGTAAAGGCCTGTGCAAGCGAAGGTTTGAGAAAGCTTGCGCTGGTGGTGAACCTGTTGTGTCCTTCAAATCAGGGCGACCTCAAATTGAAAATAAATGGTCAGTATAGCTTCCTCTTTCAAGTATTAAGTCTGGCACTCTTCTTCTTAATGTTGGAAGAGGTCAAGAAAATCTTGTGATGCTTCCCAGTTGAAGCAATCTTGAGTGAAGTTTCAGTAAATTTGTTGGATTTTGATCTAATAGTTGTGTTTCTTCTTCAATAAAGACTTAAACCAGAAACCAGTTCCAGGTTAATATTGATAAATTTCTCTTTCTTTCCAGGACATCAATGGCCTTAATGGTTTACCGCGAGACAATTTCAGGTGGAACAGTTCCTACTACAGAAGTAGTTTCACAAGTTTTGGGGTGCTTGCAACTTCCACATGATGCTGCTTTGCGGGATAGGCTGATTTCGAATTTAAGCATAAACATTTCTTCACAAAAACAACATAACATATTCCCACTAGTCGATGGATTTGGAGAGTATGATCCTCGTGCATTTTCACTACTTGAGGTATGTTGGTAGCTTCATTTAGATATAGATTCTTCTGGGTCTCATTACATGTACAGAGTTTATATGTTTCATGATTATGCAGGAGGCTACTTCTCTTGGAGTTCTTCCTTCTGTGTCCTTCAATAAAATTCCACTATTTTTTGACACAACAGAATTGCCGAAAAACGTTGCTGAGGTAAATACCTTTTTTGGTGGAATAACATTTACATGTCTTTACAAGATCATCTTCTGGTTGTTAGATTCTAAAAGTTCCTGACCGAGGATCTCTTTCTTTCTGGCCCCTCCTTTTTCTTCCTTCATGATATTTGCTTCAAATTTTCAGTGATCATGAATTGTTTAAAAGTTACATCCAACAGTATTTGAAAAAAAAAAAAAAAAAATCATATATCAATATTTCTCTGTTTTAGCAGTTTTGGGATTCTCACTTATCTAACTATGTCCTGAATAATTTGACAGGTATACCTCTTAACCATCTTTAAAGGTCTTAAGCATCGCCTTGCAGCTGGTAAGATAACCTGTTTTCCATTACTTTTCAAAGTAAGATAAGTTTACTTGGACGATCTTATCTTGACTTTGAAGCCCTTATATGTTTTAGGTGCGAAGATACCTCACATTAATTTGATCATTTCCATGGAAGAGAAGGAAATTAGGACTCCTGAAGGAGAGAAGACAATTGACCTTACAGGAAGGTGAATTAAGAGCATCCTCATTTTTTAGTATGCAGTGTTGATGTTTATTGTTAACTCGTATATTCTGAGTCATATGATTCTAAGATCGTCCCTTTTGCTGACAGGGTCGGACAGGAAATTGGTGCATTGTTGAGAAGGTTAGATATACCATATCATAGAAAGGATTCAAGATTAAGAATCAATGGTGTTTCTTTGAAGAACTGGTTTCAACCAAAGCTGGATTCACCTTTCTCTGGTGGGAAACCAGGGGATTTGAGGTCATCGCAAGTACCATTAGGAAACCAAATCAGTCGTCAGCAACGCAGCATTCGACTAGGGAACCTGTCACTTGAGTGAGAAACTGAGAAGGCGTCTCTCATTTTGATCCTTAACCTCCGAGAGTTTTTTTTTTTTTGAAGGATTAGTTCCACGGAACTTCATATACTATCAGTAAATGTCAACATCACAGCATTCCTCCGGCGTCGCAGCAGAAGGTGAAGATTCAAAGTTTGCTTCATTACTCTTCTGCATAAGCTTAGAGTTCTTGCATGAGGATGTTGCATAATGACAGCAAGTTAATTGCATGGTAAAGCAGTTGGTCTGTATATCTACAAAAAAAAACCTTGTATTTATTCGTTTTCGCATGGAAATAATATATACTAGTAAATGATTCTTGTAATGTAATCAGGAAAATACATAAACCAATATCAGAGCTCGTGATATTGCATTTCAAGAGTTGTTGGACTAAACCTTGTTATGACATTTCCGAATTCCTATGTGCGGATTTTATTGTGAAAGAAAAGAACGAGCATGTGAAAGTTATGACGTGACCACATGATAATTCAGGTCCAATTATTATTATAGATGATATAAGCAATTTGCGTAGAGGAAAAATTATAACTATTCTATTGCTTCAGGATTCACGAGAGCAGAGGGCAGAATCTGAGAATTTATAGTTTACAGAAGCACAGAAGTAGTTTTTCTTAATATTTTAGGCGATTTCCTTGGATTCAGCATTAATTCGTCTAATTTTTAATTCTATGTTAAACTTATAAAATTAACGTTAACGTTATACCAACTTTTTGACATAAGATTTAAACTTATAAAGTAATCTTGTTTGGTTTGAATGCTCGCACAAATTTCTTTACGTACATTTATTTAAATATAATGAAGAAAAAACAAATCATCTATATATATATATATATATATATATATATATATATATATATATATATATTGTGAAGTAATATTCAAATGCCATTAGTTAAGACTCAGAAATATATCAATTCATCTTCTGATTCTCCATGATTAAAAAAAAATATACATGGAATGAAAATTGATGAAAAGATACATTCTCAATCTCAAGAAAACGAATCCTCAAGATATCTATAAATACAATATAATTCTCCTAAAAACCTTCCAACTTTTCTTATTAATGTAACCGAGAAGCGATGAGATCAAGAAAAACTTCTTCTCTACAAGGAATGGTCAAGCCTCCCATTGGATGATTGAATCCAAACTCTTCCTCTGCTCGACTAAGAAACTCTTTGAAGGAAGGATGATTCAGAAACGATATTGGAACCACGAATCTCTTCTTCTCCACCTCAATCTGTTCTCCTACGTAAACTGCTACGTGTCCTTTAGGGACATGATCCGATGATGATGATGATGTTCGGTTTCTGTTTGCCAATGAGTTTAGCTTCAATATCTGCTTTGTTGCATTTGAAATTGCAAAACGGCTTAGACCCATCTTTCTTTTTGCTTTCAATGGAAGTTTTTTTCTTTTTTACACCACAATGTTTGAGATGAGAAAAGGTGGTGACGATTGCCTCTATTTATAATAATGGGAATTTGTTAAAATACGTATTCATAGCTTTCCAATGATTTAAGGCCATTTAATGGGTTTTATTTTTTATTTTTATTTTCTCTTGTAAGTTGTTTGACTTATATATCTTCTCACATGGCTTAACTCATCCATCAAAGGTCTCCAACAAAAAGTTCTCTGTTCATACTATTATAAAAATCAGTAAAACTAAGTTGAAAAATCAAGGTATCATTATAATACTATTTTTTGAATATTAAACTAAATCTTCTAAGAAAAGTTCTGACTCATTTTTTTATCTTCAACATGAAAGTATGTGCTTTGAAAAGATAATAATACAAGTGGACAAAGAACGTAGAAAGAAGAGAGAGCAACTTGGCACATTGGATGGAATTTGCAATGTACAGAAGCAAAAATTCAGGATACATGTAACCAATCTTATATTTCCAATTTAAATACAGAATAAATGCTCAATATGGTTAATCATTGGATTGGAATTCATCTGATCGATGCGAATCTTCTGAGTAGCAAATCATTACAGCCGCAAATATCTTCAATTTATTGAGATTTTTGATCTTTGATTTGTTGAGTCGTATCTATCACCCAATTTCAGTCTCTATCACATGGATGCTTCTTGGAAATTATTCTTAATTTTCTAGTTGCAGAACTCCACATTTGTTATCTTTGGATAGCGCATCGCTAAAACAAAAGTTCAGTAAAATTTAAAATTCTTTGAAAATAATGACAATTTCTTTGTGTCTACATAGACACTTTTTAGTGTATGTATTTTATTTAATGGAAGTTAGTCAAGTTACTATGGTTTTGTAGCATGGATGCCTCTTCGAGTTGAACATCGGAACATGTATGGTTATTTAGATAGATTTTCTTATATATTGCTATTTGGAAATTATCCTGATTACTTAGATGTAGAATAAACACTCTCTCTTTAGAATCATAAAAGAGTCCATCGTGAAGTATGACATTGCTGTTGTCTCTGATTCGATCCATATCTTGTAAATCTTTGAGATGTTCTAAGGGCTGTTGTGATCTTTTAGTTGGAATGTCATTCTCTTTAACGTCTTTTTAATGCACGATATGTAACTGCCATGATCATATCTACCATGTACACTCAAACTACTAATATTTGCAAATCACATACCTCTATATTATGAAATTGATATGATACAGAAGTTAATACATCACAATCAGCAAAGACAAAAAAAGGAAGCTTATGAAAAAGATACTTATCATTTGTCCAGAACATGGCCAGTTCAATTGGTTCATAAGCTTTATGCTATTTTGTTTTAAAAATAGGTTTTGACCCTTAATCTATAAAAATGGTGAGTTTTTTTTTAATAAAAATATTGGTTTTGTTTAGGTTCGTCCCTAGTATTCCAATAATATAATTATGATGGTCGGTCTATGGGTTTACTTCTATAATTAATGTGCAATGAGTAGAGTAGTTAATGCGTTTATACAATTTGATTAAGTCATAAGTCATGACAATTAAATTTTTGATAAAGAATTTCTATATATAAATGGGCATGTAATGGATGATCGTCTCATGACAGAGGGATTAGGTCAGGTTTAAACCCGAGTCTACTTTACAATCAATTATCGGAAAGCATGTAATTATAGATTCTTCGTACAAATCATCAATCAAGCTATGAATATTCCGATGATTTTATATATAAATCTTCGAAAACATGAAAATGTTTTTTCATCAAAGTTTTCTGGAAATACATATTTACATGTTGATTCAATATGTTCTCCTTTGCAGAAATAAACAAAGGGAACAACCAAAAAAAAAGTAATTCTATAGAAAGAAAAAAACTTGGGGCTTCCCCAAAAAACGTGTCTCAAGACTCAAGTTGAAACAATACAACCATAAGAATTCAAGAGACCAACAAATGTTTCTTCTCTGCATGGAATCGTTAATCCACCAATTGGATGATTGAAACCAAACTCTTCCTCTGCTCGACTAAGCAAACCTTGAAACGAAGGGTGGTTCAAATACGAAATCGGAACCACGAACCTCTTCTTGTTCTCCATCTCTTCTCCTACATAAACCGCAACATGTCCTTTTGGGACTCGAGATTGCTGTTTTTGGGACTGTTTAGAGTTGATAACACGCGACAATCTAATCGCCATCTTTAAAAGCAAGAAGTTTTATAAATAATCTACAAGGATACTCTGTTTTATGAAATCAGAGAAAGATTGATGCCTTTTGGTGGAGTTGTGTTTCAGTTGATGTTGTTATATATAGAGTTCTTTATAGGTAAGGAATCAAATTTCGAAATTATGTTTTAATGATACAACAGATTTTATTGGATTTAAATATTAGGAGTTTGCAGAGTTTCACATGGTTTACTTTTTTAAAAAACTAGGGTTTACCTAGAAAAAGCAGCAAGCTGATTCTGATTTCTGGATGACTTAAGAATGAATATAATCAGATAGGGACCCACCAGTGTTACAGAACTCACATGTTCTCTCTGTCACTTATTAAAATCTCTGGCCATTACATGAAACAAATTTGGCCCTATTGGTTTTCATGAATAGACAACAGAAACAAGTGTCCTTATTGATGAAAATAGACATTTTGACAAGTCTATTGTTGGCTCTTGAAAATGGTGGCTTTTTAGTCTATTTGTGTTGCCCTATAGCCCACTTAAGAGGACCCTTTCGTATCTTAAATAAAATTGACTATACCAAACTTTATATTATTAAATCTTTACTATTAAGCTTGGAGTCATGAAAATGAGAAACATTGAACATGCATGGTTTCTTTGGGTTCTTAGAATGTTGAATCAAGTTCAAGAAAACATTTATTGGTAGAAGTTGTTGGTCTTAAAGCTAAGTAATATGAGATTTTGGACTCAACAGACTCCGTTAGAACACCGGAACGTACAACAAAAGTTCAATCGATATCATATCATCATCATTGATTCTACAATGACATCAAGTTAATTGTATGATTTTTTTTTTGTACAGTATGAATTTACTTACGGTGGAAAGTTCAAAATGAAAATTTCTTGATAAAATGAAATCAAGCAGTTGAGCTAATGTCACTGGATCCTGAAATATTCATTCCAATGTCTGATCCAGAGAAATTAATTAAGATTGTTATTATTCGCATGTATTTATAAATTAGTGCAATTACAGTAATTCTAAGAAATTGCAGTTATTGAAAAACGGTCACGTGTTTCATTTCCATTATTATGATCACAATTATCTCTTCCTAATAAAAGAGAGTAACATGAGCTTGACATTTGACAATCTAAATCTGCAATAATTTGGATATGATTTATATCATTTATTATGACAAGTTTCACTATAATAAAATTGCGCAGTACTGTTTCAATCATTTTTAATAAATATTATTTATTGATATGAAGAAAATATAGATCATACTATTGTTATTCATCACTAATTCACTAACAACCCATTTTAGTTTCTTCAGAGAGCATGTGATCCACCATTCTTTTAAAATACTTTAAGTTCCTTAAAGAATCTTATATGTTTTTTTTGGAGATATACTATATTTTTGGAGCTGCGTATTTAAAGTACAAAACAAATGAAAACTTATAATAGAGATTTCCCTTTATGTGACAAATTTCCCTTTTTATTATCTAATGCTTTTATTAATTACTGGTTTGTGATAATGTTGTTGCATTATCAATAAATTTACAGTAGTTTTCTAATACTCCATTTGTCTTAATATATATATGATGTTTTACGTTTTTCTTTTATTTCTTTTATTAGTTGAATTTTTATAAATTTAAACATTTATTATTCTTAATATTTGTGTTTTTAGCTAAAACATCTAATAAAATAGATTCAATGGAATATAGTAAACTACCCGCATTTAAAGTTTCCCCATTTTTACTGTAAAAGTTAAAAGCTTTTAACGGTTTGAGTATCAATATTAGTTCAACTTTTTAAATCTTATTTCAAAATACAACTTAAGCTCTGAACAAGTGTCATCATATACACACATAAGTAACTTTCCTATACTTTTTCTCTTAGAAAAGGAAACAAAAAACTGCTTCATTAAAGCCCTTAAGACTATTACATGCGTTCCTCAATGCAGCTGATGAGAAGTAATGAGATGAAGAAACGACTCTTCTCTACAAGGTATCGTCAAGCCACCCATGGAGTGATGAAATCCACACTCTTCCTCAGCGCGATTAAGAAATTCTCGGAACAAAGGATGGTTCAAGTATGATATTGGAACCACAAACCTCTTTTTCTCCATTTGTTCTCCCACGTAAACCGCTACGTGACCTTTCGGAACAAGCCCTGAAGTTGTTGTGGATGATGATGATGATCCGTTTTTGTTTCTCATAGATTGTGATTTGAAGATTTGCTTTGCATTTGGAAGCATCGACCGCATTAAACCCATCTTCTTCTTTATATTTGCAACGTATCAATTTGAGGAGGTAAAAAAATTTTTAAAAGCAAATGACTTGATAGACAACTAGGGGAAGAAGTTTCTATTTGTAGTAGTGAACTTAAAGTATGTAACTTCAAGATAAGGAAAAGACTTCAACGCTAAAAAAAACAGTACGATGCGATATTTTGATTACTAAAAAAACCCCAAAAGTTGTGGGCTGTTGGGCCATGCCGTCATCCATCTGGCTCACATGGCTTAGCTCATCAGCTCTATATAAAAAAAAGAAAGAAAAAATTGCACATAATATAAGTTTCTACATGATTGCAAATATAAAAAGTTTTGGGTATATGCATATTTAATTAGAGCCTCGAAATGGTAAATAAGG